TATTTTCTGTTATGACTGACAACCTGAGTGATAGCGCATTTATTGTGTTCGCCTTTTAAAAATTCCTTTCAAAAAGAAAAACTAGACACATACAGGCAAATATTGAGTTCCATTTGCAAACAAGCTTTTGTGATTTAATTTAGGTGGCACTTCAGGTGATTTGGGAAGTTCTTGTATTTTAGATTGTGTTTACACTATTAGCATACCGTCTAAGTACAACCGTACCTTAACTGTTTCTTTCTTTTTTTGGATAGGATTCTGTAAGTGCAGAACTTTTACAGCCAGTCACCCACTTCAATTATATAAAGATGCATGTATGTTGGCACTAGCAACTTAAATTATGTTTTAATTGTATTAAATGTTGGCAGTCTTGGCTCCATACTGTGTAAATATCGGAGCTCTATCACACCGTATACTAAAAATAAACTAAAATTGCCGAGAAAAGTGCAAAAAATAATTCGGTTCTAAAAGGTAATGACGTATAAATCTAGTATAAATATAAGACACAAATTACAAACCAGTATTCAGTCCGTTTATTTGAGAGTTATAACTACTTTATTATAAGTGTCTATAAAACTATTCACCTGTACATATAAATAAGTGTATAAACCCAGGTACGAGTTCATGAGGCGCACGGAAATACCGTGTGCACGAAGGCAGCACGACGATCACCCCATTGATAAAGTTCGCAAACTTCTCTGTATTTTCGTGACAACCTTATTATTATACTTCCTTCCCCTGCTTTAAGTATGGATTTAATGAGAGATGACATCCACAAATGACAACAACGAATGTTTTACGCTGTGCGAACGTTCTTTAATAATCTTCCAATATCATCTACGGATATATGATCATTAACTACTGTCACCTAACGCGGTGAGATGAACGGCATGGAATGGCTTCATTATGAGTTCAAAGTACAAATATGTTAATATATGCTAATCATGACTACCGTCTTACGAGAAGTTAATGTTTTGTCCAGCCGATTGAAAGTTTCGTCCTGCAAATTAAAAATTATGTCCTGACACTTGTGGGCCACCGTAAATATGTACCGAAGTCTATTTCAGTTATTAGAGTGTGTTAATACGTGGATATAAATTGTTCTCCAAGTCTACTGTACAGTTGACAAACTAACATAATTAAACTAGACCCAAACGGTGATAATCTCTGAGTACCACGGATCGTTATCCTTTCAATGAATAAGTCGTGAGACGAGACACTGAGTCAGACTATACCATTTCCATACATAGAAGTGAACAAATATATACTTGCTAAATATTTATTGTAAACTATTTGCGTCATTCAAAAATAAGCAAACCAATATATATTTATTTATAACTACATTATGTCTTCTCAAATTGCTCTGCAGACTATTTAATTAGAATACGCGAGTTTTAAACGTAATCAAATTATTTCTTTTTTAATATACATCAACATTGGAAGGTGTCGGGGTGCCATGCAAATTAAACTTGATGAGCTCACTGCATTCAAAGTTAGAATGCAACGACATAGACTGACTTTAAAACGCCTTCTCCTCAAATTACAGTGGTAGCATTGCCCGGTTTATGCCTTGTTAGAGTTTATCAGTGTACTCATTGGATATATAGTTATAGCGCCAGCGGGTGGCCAAATAGAGAAAATGCTAATTTTAGTTATACCAAACATGGCGGTTCGAGTTCGGTTTCGGTATTCCGAGTTACGAATAGTGGCAGTTCATAGCCTTTATCGTAGTGTCTAGTCTATACTTGCAACCAGTAGAATACTAAGAGCGCCTGACAACCTGAGTATTCTAAAATAACGGTATATAGGGCTCAAACCACTAATTGAATTTCCATAGACGACAATGTTAACATATGACGAGATTGCTATATGAAAATGATGAAGAAAGTTGAAAATATGGCTCAAAAATGGGAAATCAACATGCCAGTAATCAACCATATGAAAAAACTAACATGTTGGCCAGCTCAAACTCTTGCAAATCTCAGGTAAACAAGACACACCTACTGTATTTGGATTGCACCAAGAGAAATCACTGGAAAAACACCAAGATTAGAACATCCATTAACACACAGAATAAACCACCAGGTACACAGCCGCTAAGTAGTAAACAAAAGACCACATGTTGGTCTCACCTCTGACCCAGGTGATTACGCCCTCAAACAGGGAGCACCTGAGAAAAATAATATTTAAAACATTTCATTGGTTCTTGCTAGGCTACGAGCAGCCATTGGTTAATTAGTGGCATGAGACCTTATACACATTTGTTTTACCGAGGAACGTTCCCGTAGTTGTACTACTTTAATACTGAATGCGAATGTTGAGGTCACAGTCAGCGACGGTCTTGCATAATTGTTGACAGCGGAAGGATATTCTGGCCAAAATGGTGCATTTCACAGCCAATCATTGAGACAGCGTACGTCATGAAAATTCTGGATTCAGTACACCAACCATGGCTGGACAACACAACTGGATATTTGCTTTACTTGAGTTATATGGATAATGATGCATTGAAATTTGCCAATTGGGATGCAATGCCAATACATATCTAAACAGAGCAACATATATTTCATTATATATTATCGTAATTAGATCTACTGTGAATGTCTACAGCATTACTCTGTAGATGAGACTTATATCTTCTGTAGACAAGCTTGTAAATCTATACGAGGAGGATGCGATCTCAGTAGAAAGAAGAGCGACTGACGTGATTCAAATACCCGTGAACCCACATTTCTGGACAAGTGGCATTAGGTAGCTTCCACAAATTTAATTCTTATTGTTTGCGTGTATAATAGCGTCATTATATGCACTAAAATGCAGATTATATGCGTGAGTGGCATACATGTATAACAAATTACCCCTAATAGTTTATTTCCCATAGAATATGCAAATCAACATATGTAATACTTATATTTCTACACACAATCTGAAACTTGGCTCATGGAATCTCGGGAACTAGGGTTGCATCATGTAAGAATATTATTTTTATTTTGCTTGTATGGGTTTAGTTGTACGTATTGCCTGGAAGCTCGCGTTTTGGAGAAACTAGAGAATAACTAGAGCGCGAACAAGAAATCACCCCATATTCTAGCAAGGAAACCGGATGGTGGCGCTATAACTCAAAACGCAAAATTACCCCATGTCACAGTGTAAGACCTGCTTATTGCTATCGAGAGGACCCCCACAGAACTCACACTGGACAGGTTTTTTTCACTGCTAGTATGGGGTAGACAAGATAATCGTACTTAAATTGAATAAACACATACATCAAAATATCGAGTAAAAGCTCCTGGCTTTAATACCTCTCAAAATAAATACAAGATATAAAGCACAGAAAAATACAATGAATAAAGTCACTAAAATAAGGGGACTGCCTAGGGAAGTGTGCATTGGTGATAACTCACAGTTCAAGGATATAGAAATGGGTGACAGTCAATGGCTTTTGCAACACAACATCGAAGAAACACATAGGAACGCCGTTATTGTGGAGGGCAACGCTGATAGCAGGATGCTAATATTATTCCTGTTATTTACAACGTTTTTTCTGCTGAACATTATCGTTATCGTCGCAAATCTGGAAATTTCGGAGTGGACTCTACCAATTTGACCTCTATTAACCTACAGCACACATCCCGATCGAAGTTTATGTCAGAGTTAAAATGTGGATTATTAAATTCTCGTTCAGTTGGGAATA